ACTAGGCCAGAATGTAAAGCACTGCTGCTAACCTCTGTTCCCTTTGACAACACCAACTCCTACCTCTCTTCCCCTCTCCTATTTGGGAATTCTGTCAGCAAGATCTTTGTTACTTGTTTTCAGTCCTGTGCCATGGACACTAGAGTAGAGAATTCTGGAGGGAAAAATTTTATTTCACCTTTGCTTTTGTGTTGGAATTATTTTTAATATTTACCTGTAAACATTTTGTAGTATTTTCCTTGTTGTGAAATGAATTACAATGTAATTTCCTAATTCAAAGCAGGATCTGTGGGAAGAAAATATACAATACTGGGATTAAAGATATTTACCACCAGCTAAACACTTTTGAGTGTTTTATGAAGAAATAAAATGTTCCATACCAACAATAAAAATAAAATTCTTTCTAAAATCGATTTCAAAAAATATTATTTAAAATAGTCTTTGTTTAAAGTTTGCTGCTGGGAAACCCTGATGGCACTCAGTAACTCCTACAAAGGCCATCAGCACTACAACAGCAAGTGGCTATTGCAGTACTTGTTGTGGAAGAACACAGGTCTCTTTCCAAACTATCTTCTCACTATGCATGGATGGGAGATGACATCCTACCCAACACCTCATGCCACACACAAAAGAATGTTCTTCCTCTGATAACTCATCATCCTCTGGATCTGCTTCAGGCCAGTACCAACCCTCACTTCTTATGTACCCCACAATTCCCCTCACCCTCTACACCGAATGGAACTGAGAGCACACGAGTCCCGTTCACAGAACCAATCGAACTTCAGTTTTCTTGGACAATGACAGTGGAAGGTGGCATCCGAATTTATGAATTAGCAGACAGAATGAGAGGAGCAGAAGCACTGAGGCAGCTTCAGGAGGAACAGGAGAGGAAGGTACAAGCCCTCTCAGAGGTGGCATCTGAGCTAAAGGAGTTGAAGCTGCATAAGGCATTCCAGGACTTAGAGGAAGTGATGGAGAAGAGAACCAGAGAAGCCTTGGGCCATCAGAAGAAGCTGGAAGCTTAGCATCACCAAAGAGCCAAGATTCTCAACCTCAAGCTTCTAGATAGGCAGAGCAGCAGCAGCCTGTGAAGCATGCAGATCTGGAGCAGCTTCAGAAGGAGGAAAGCCAGGTCCTTCTGGGAGTCCTGGAAGAGCAGAGATTTGAGTTGGAGGCCTTCAGGAAGGGTCAGGGTACAAGAGATCACTGTCTTGTTCTAGCAGAGATGATTTTCCTTAACTTGTTGGATGCAGGCTCCGTGGTGGATGTGGCTGGGAGCACAGAGAATCCTATGCGCTGTGGATCTATAGAGGAAGGTCTTCTTCATGGCTCCCCACAGTGGATCCTGGTGAAACATGACACTTCATGTTTATAAACAAGTTTATTGCCAGGACAGAATATAGATGTTTAAAATCATACCCCGTTTCTCTGGGTGGGCCTGAGATTAAATACCATTTGCAGGGAGGAATGTCTGGGAAAGGAAGCTTACTCCTTAAGCCCTGTGGTCCTCTAGGAACTAGCACCGAGAACTGGTTAGGGCCTGCGTAATTGAAGTCATGTCTCTTTTCCTAATGTCTTGTTCTGAGAAATTAGGGATGATGACTCATGTACATGAGGAATGGCTTGGGACTTTGCCCCTTAGTGACTGATGGCCACAAATCTCTCTGGGGGTCTGAAGTAAATTGACAGGGACCTGGTGCCAGGAGCTGATGAAGTTCCTCCAGTTCCTTCAAGGTCTCTGGGGCTTCAAGCCTTTAGCTTGATCTTAGCAGACTTCTTCACAAGGTCTATCGCCCCTGAATGTAAGTATTGAGAAACCCATTGTAAATGATCAGGATAAAGGCCAAGTCCTGCATATATGCATATACAGCAGTGGACTGTCTGGTCTGGCCTCAGTGAGAGGAGATGGACCTAATCCTCAAGAGACTTGAGACAGTGAGTGGGGAGGAGGCACTCAAGTGTAGACTGGGAAGGAGGAATGGAATGAGGATGTATGGGATTGATTACTGTCAGGGCTATATTGGCTGGAGTTTAAAACAAGATTAAAGATAATATATTAAGTTAAAAGAAGAAAGTTAAAATAAACAAACAAAAAGCTACAAAAAAACCCTCCAAAACAAGTCATATAAATCTGGGTATTCTCAGTACTACTTTTTATTCCAGGAGTTGAGGCATTGAATATTCTATTTCAGAATACTTGTTTTTTAAGGAATTTTTGTGCTACTCAAATGTTTCAGCCCTTACAGAAAAGATAGAGGCACTCAATATTCTATTTCAGATTAGTTGGGTTTTTTGTTTGTTTGTTTTTGTTTTAAGGAATATTTGTGCTTCTCCAGTCTTGCAGCACTTATAGAAAACACTGTCCCACACAGAAGTGAGACTACTTCCTTGTGTGTGGCACTTACTAATCCAGGGATAAAATTTTCTGTAAGAACTCTCTGAATAACATCACTCCAGACAGTGAGTGGGATGGTGTTCACACCCTGGAACCACACTAGCAGATGAATTTGCCCTGTTATGCTGTTCTACCATGCCATGGAAAAACTAAGGTCTTGCTTAGAGTAACTCATTTCAAATAAAAACATTAAAAATGTACACTAATCATTTCAGAAATCTTTCTCTTCATCAGATGTTTGAGCCCCTTGAAAAATCTTTGGTTTTGAGCTTAAACATGGTTCTTAGAGAAGGGATGGGTAATTTTCTTTAAGAAACATTAACAGAATGTACCTCTTTTTAAGATTAGAGACTCATACCCACTGACTCAAGTATCTTCCTTCTACTCATCAACTGAAACATTGTAAGTCAGTACGAATGGTATGGTTTCAGCCCCTTGGCCTACCCTGCTGTTTCCACTGTTCTGTGTTACATACAGGCTGATAAGCAATCTAAGGGTTTTCCCTGTGGGGATGTATCTCAGAATAGCATGTACTTAGCATGTATGTGCATTCTGCATTCAGTCCCTAGCACCAAAACTAAAGAGGGGTCTCAAGGGACTTCCCTTCTCAGAACTTATAGGACACCAACTATTCTTAAAAGGGACATGGAACACACAGAAGAAAGAAATACTCACTTTTATTCCATCAATAATATGATGTTCTTGTAGAGCATTCTCAAGTTCTTCCTGTGAAGAAATCTGACCCCAACCCATGCCTCTTTGAAAGCCAGTCTCCCTGTCCTTAAAATGGAAGTTTTAACCATGAGCATCATATTACCACGGACCCATTCACATAAAACTACCACCTTTGTCATTTGCCAAAATCAGATCTCAAACAATCCATGTCAGTAGCCCTTACTGCATACCCTCCTGGTTACCCAAGGCTATATCTTAGTGTTATTATACTGGGAATTGGGAAAATACTAACAGAGCTTTCTGCAAGTACATTTGATACAGTCAAAAGTCCAAGACTCAAACCACTAACAGTTTTAGTCAAAGGAAATGCCTCTGAAGTACTTGTGTTTCTTTTTTTTCTTGTTTCTAATGAATTGTTAGAAAAGCCCCCTAAAGTAGGAACATCTGGGCATTCCTGAGGTCAATCAACCTCATCACCACTAACACAGCAGCACATGGTTTGTTCATGGTTATGTGCCTGTGAATATATGTACCATATGTATGTAGGTCACCATGGAGACCGGAGGCAGAAGTTAGAGGTAGTTTTGAGACATCCCACAAACGTGCTGGGATTCACACTCAGATCTTCGTGAAGATCAACAAATGTTCTTGACCACTCCCCTCTTCAACAAGTGCATTTCCCAATAACCCTCACTGAAGAACAAGAGGAAAAGTAATACCTTCACAAGCATAGCTCCAAGCTTCCAGTTTGGAGCTACCTCCCTTGAGGGAGAAGCAGAGTGTTTATCATTTGGCCAAGTATCAGACACAGAAGAGACTCTAGTGTGTTTGGCGGCAGTCTGTCTCATCCCTCCAACCCTCTAGTAGAAGACACTAATGTTTATTTAGTGAAGATGCATATTTGGCCCTTATTAGTCTTTCTTACAAAATTATACTTTTCCAACAAACAGTTGGATATTACTATGATTCTTCATCGGTAATTTTCTTAACATCGGATGTAGGAAAAGCTGGTGATCCAGACAATGATCCAGTCCCATATATCTGATGCTTACCTACAACCAGCTTCACAAGCAAAGGCATTAAAAGTGTATGTTATAACTGAGATGAGGGTTGGAGAGGTGGCTCAGAAGGTAAGACCATTGACTGCTCTTATAAAGGTCCTGGGTTCAATTCCCAACAGCTACATGATGGCTCATAACCATCTGTATTGGGATCTGATGTCCTCTTTCTTCCTGCAACTTCTAACTAGCAGGTTGAAAGTTAGAGCCTTGTAGTTACTGCTGAGATAGAACAAAGGCCAAGTTACATAATCCTCACCTGTTTAGGTTACAAGTGTTAATCACCTAACACTTTACCCTCAGAAAGAGCAAGAAACTTTTAGGACTTTTTAGAAGTTATTATCAGCATTCCAGTACAATTAGAGAACTAGAAAGCCCTGAGACCCTCAGACTTTAAAAGCCATCACAAGAGTCCTACTCTGTGTCCTCACCACTACCCTCTCTGGGCCGGGAGGCTATTGACAGGTATGAGTCTAGAATTAGGTTCTATTAGCTCAGAAGAACACACAAGGGACTGTTTCTTGGATACAGAATGGATGCATCCCATACCTTCAATCCTTTTCAGCAGGCTACCCTCAGCTCTCACCTCAATACATACAATAATTTTTATCCTACTAGGATTCCATGGCATGACATAGAAAACATGACAATGACTAGATTACTCTGAATTACTTCTGACATTACACTATGTCCTCTGCTGTTTTAGTATAAATGCTATCAACATCTCAGTAAAACCAAGGTAATTGTCACCAATTTACAAGATACTCATGTCTTAAAATATTTCTGTAGACAAATTTTATTTTATTTTTATCCAGTTACAAGTTCCCAGCCACTTTACAAGTTTTAAGAGCCCAATTTCTGTACAGATCCAGTCACTTTTCAATGTGGCAAGTCCCCAACTCACTGATCACCTTGGTGTTGCTTTCATTTCTCTCTTCTCCATAGGTAGAAGATGTGAAGGGGCTGTTGACCTTTTGTGCATTGGCCTGGGGGTTACCATTGGGACTGTGCAAGTCTCCAGGCCTCTGACAATGCTGGTCCTCACTGTAGTATTTTCAGTGACTCCAATAGACGATGGATGAATTCTGGAGGGACTGGGGTCTGTTAGGGAAATTCAGTTGCATGACCACCACACCTAGTTCTGAAAGTAACACTCCTGAGTACTGTTTTGGCATCTGTTGTGGGCTGCATGTAGAGGGAGACTGAGGCATCTGGTACTGCTCAGGGCCAGGAGTCTGTAGAAGACCCACAAAAGCGCTCATACTGTTCTGCTGTGCTGATTGGATCATGTTGTATGTAGCAATCAGGCATGCCTCCTGGCACACACTGGCTGGTAGGGACCAGGATGGGCTGCTGGAAAGGTGGCTGGATCACATTTTGTGAGTCACTGCCCACTGGGACTTGGTAAGAAAGCAGTGGAGTGTACTGAACCACCAGGCCTTGCATCTGGCCTCCCATACTTCTCCTCTGGTTGCAGAATAGGCCCTGGTTCTGATGTTGCTGGTCCACAAGTATGCCTTGGTAAGCTGTCTGCTGCTGGTAAGACATCATAGGCTGTAAGTCAGGCTGCTGGGATGCTTGAGGAAGCTGTTGACCATATTGGGGGCTACAGGAAACCAGGTGGGACAGAGGTTGATATTGTGGGTTCGAACTAGGATACTGTCCTGGAGAGTAGTAAGAAACCTGGATCTGTTGAGGGGACTGCATGTAGCCTTGGGATGGCAGGACTTGCTGGGTAGGTGGAGCATGGCTAGAAGTGGTGTAGCCGGAAGTAGGAAAGGCTTGTCCTTCAGAAGCCATGATGAAACTAGCTTGCTGAGGATGCTGGAAGAAAAGTGGGGCCTGGAACAAAACTGAGGATGGTTCAGCTGCTTCAGTAGAACTTTGGTAGCTAAGGCTCATTTGTCCAAAACAGTTGCTGAGGTCTTCTGCCTGTGAAATTATGTGATTATTCAAGGATGGCTGTTGTTGAGTGGGTTGGAGACCAAAAAGTTGTTGCTGATGCTGCCACTGCCACCCTTCCTGCTGCTGCTGCTGCTGCTGCTGCTGCTGCTGCTGCTGGGCAGTGCAAGAAAGAAGGCCCCAGTCAGACTGAGGTGAGGTGACCTGGGTGTACACTTCTGGTGCACCTAGTGCCATGCCTGGCCTGGAGAGCCCTCCTAAACTGCTGCCTTTACTGCTACCAATGCTGTCACCTCGGGTGAGGATGGAGATTCCACTGAAGCTGCTGGCTTTGGTCAAAATCGGTCCCATACTTTGGACAGAGCCATCTGAGTCACTGCTACTCCAAGGACATGACTCCAGGAATTTGAGTTCCCTGTTCGTCTTGTCCTGTAGGCTGACTGAGGTGCAGCTCACCCCTTCCTGGTTTCCCTTGATGTCATTTAGATGTTCATTCTGGCTAGTCCCTTGAGCAAATATTCTCTCTTGGACCCTTTGATATTCCTCCTCTCTCTCACCTATTGACTTGCTCCTCCTTCCATCCTGCAATGGAACTCTCCTCTGCTTATCATCTTGGTCCATACTGGCATCATCTCTCTTGAGAATGAGTCTCTGTTGAAATTCTGTGTTCTTCTCATCTTTTATATATTCTGAGAACCTCTGTTCAGGGATCCTTGTTCTGCTGGTTTTTCGGATGATGACAGCTTTCCCTGTTTGATCAACATTGTGGTCCATCCCAAAATAGGCAGCTACCCGGTGTAATAGCTTCCGGTGATATGAGGTCATCTGAGGGAACTTCTTGAACTGGTTATTGTTGTCATTGATGAAGTCTAGAATCTCTTGCTCTAACTTTAGCAGTATCATTCTGTCCTTTCGATTCTTTTTAAGTGTACTTACAAGAAATGCATGTAGATCTATTCCAGTGGAGTCAGTATATTCTTGGTTGGAGTCTCTAGATAGCATCTTCTTCATGACCTTGTTTTTGCTTTTGTCCTTATCTTCCTTTTCAGAGTCATCTTTTGTGGACTTTTCTTCCTCCTCATCAGAGGGGCAGCTGATGTGAAGTTGAATTATATCCTGGGTGTCTAGTGACCCATCAACAAATGGAGTGGAGGATTCTTTACACACTGCAGTCTTGCATACCACCTTGAGCTTGGAATTAGGCTTGGCTTTTTTCCTGTCGTAGCCATGACTGGATGTCTGTATCTGTGTCTTCTGACAAAGACTGTTCTCATCACCCTCCTTCTCTACTTCTTCCTTACTTGTTGTTTTGGATATAAATTTATTTTTGTTTAAAGATTCTGCCAGCAGTTTTTCTTCTGATTCTTTCATTATTTCCAGAGTCTCTTGAGTAGTGTTACAGTTAGACATGTTCTACAGCAGGGTACAGCAGCTTTTGTGGATTTCTACGCACACACCTTCAATCACATCACTGGAAGGCAGAGGCAGGTTGATCTCTCTTAGGATTTCGTCTTGCTGTCTATTGTCATGGGTTCAGTTTTTGCAGAGAAGAGAAATATGCCAATTAGACAAGGAAATACCTTGGTAGAGTCAAGATTTAAACTTTAGCCCCTCCCCCTGGTCCTTATTGCCTAGGCAGACTGACAGCTGGTCTGCTCCGGAGAAGACAACATGTTCATCCCAGAGAACCTACTGCACTCAAAGCAATTGATAAAAACCCTCCCCCTCCCCCATGACCCAAAGAAGTCCCAGAGCTGCAGCTGGGAGACCAGCAGGCAACACATTAGGGACCCATCACCTACCAAAACCCTGCCCTCCAGAATATCACTACCCCTCCACCTCCCTGTGGTTCTTCCTGCTTGAGTAGATCCCAGCTGGTCTGCTCCTGGGAAGACACCATATTCAGACCCATTCCAGAGGATCTGCTGCAAACAGAGTAGTTGACACATACCAGAATATCTGCTTCACTCAAAGCAGACGAGGATCTACTGCGCCCAGAGCAGTTCACTCCTAGCTGGTTTGTTCCCATGAAGACAACATAACCTGACCTATTGGCATAGATTCCTTCTAATCTGAGACAGTGCACTGAGCAGACATTGTGTGCTACCTCTGCAACCATTCCCACAACACCAAGAGGAAGTTAGACTCCCAAGAGCTCTAACACACCCAAGATCATAGAGGAAGCTGGACTCCCAGGAGCTCTGACACATGCGATCACAAAGACAGCTGGACTCTGAGGAGCTCTGACACAACCAAGAAAACAGGAGAGACAGGCTCCAGTCAGAGACCTTTAGTGCAGGAAGTACTAAAGATAATCAGATGACAAAAGGCAAGCACCAGAATGTAAGCAAAAGAAACCAAGGTTACTGGGCATAATCAGAACCCAGATTACCCAACGTAGCAAGTACTGGACACCCCATCATATGAGAATAGCAAGATTCAGATTTAAAATCATTTCTTATGGTGGAGGACATAAGAATGACATAAATAATTCCCTTAAAGAAATATAGGAGAACACAGGAAAACAGGTAGAAGCCCTAAAAGAGGAAACACAAAATTCCCTTAAAGAATTATAGAAAAACACAACAAAACAGTTGAAGGAATGGAACAAAACCATCCAGGATCTAAAAATGAAAGAAGAAACAATAAAGAAATCTCAAAGGGAGACTATCCTACCCTGGAAATAGAAAACTTTAAGAAAGAGATCAGGGGTCATAGATGCAAGCATCGCCAACAGACTAAAAGAGAAAGTAGAGAGAATTTCAGGTGCAGAAGATGCCATAGAAGACATTGACACAAGAGTCAAAGAAAACGCAAGACAAAAAACAACCCAAAATGTCCAGGAAATCCAGGACACAATGAAAAGACCAAACTAAGATTAATAGGTGTAGAAGAGAGCAAAGATTCCCATATTAAAGGGCCAGTAAATATCTTCAACAAAATTATGGGAGAAAACTTCCCTAACCTAAAGAAAGATGCCTGTGAACACGCAAGAAGCCTTCAGAACTCCAAATAGACTGGACCAGAAAAGAAATTCCTCTCATCACATAATAATCAAAACACCAAATGTACAAAACATAGAAAGAATATTAAAAGCAGTAAGAAAAAAGGTCAAATAACATATAATGGTAGACCTATAAAAATTACATCAGACTTCTCACCAGAGACTATAAAAGCCAGAAGATCCTGGACAGATGACATACAGATCCTAAGAGAACACAAATGCCAGCACAGGCTAATATACCCAGCAAAACTCTCAATTACCATAGATGGAGAAACCAAGATATTCCATGTAAAAATCAAACTTACACAATATCTCTCCACAAATGCATCCCTACAAAGGAAAATAGATGAAAAACTCCAACACAAGGAGGGAAACTATACCCTAGAAAAGTCAAGAAAGTAATCTTCTTCCAACAAACCCAAAAGAAGATGACATACAAACATAATTCCACCTCTAATAACAAAAATAACAGGAAGCAGTAATCACTTTTCTTTAATATCACTTAACATCAATGGACTCAATTCCCCAATTAAAAGACATAGATTAATGGATTGGATATGTAAACAGGACCCAGCATTTTGCTGCATACAGAAAATGCACTTCAGTGACAAAGACAGACACTACCTCAGAGTAAAAGTCTGAAAAACAACTTTCCAAGCAAATGATCCCAAGAAACAAGCTGAAGTTGCCTGTCTAATATTGAAAAAAAATTGACTTTCAACAAAAAGTTATGAAAAAAGATAAGGAAGAACACTTCATACACATCAAAAAAGAAATCTACCAAGAAGAACTCTCAATTCTGAATATCTATGCTCCAAATGCAAGGGCATGCACATGCATAAAAGAAACTTTACTAAAACTCAAAGCACACATTGTTCCTCACACACAATAATAGTGGGGGAATTCAACACCCCATTCTCACCAATGGACAGATCATGGAAACAGAAACTAAACAGAGACATGGTGAAACTAACAGAAATTATGAGCCAAATGGATTTAACAGATATCTACACATTTTATCCTAAAACAAAAGAATATACCTTCTTCTTGGTACCTCATGGTACCTTCTCCAAAATAGACCATATAATTGGTCACAAAACAGGCATCCACAGATACAAGAAGTTAGAAAGATCCCATGCATCTTGTCAGATTGCCGTGAACTAAGGCTAGTCTTCAATATCAACAAAAACAACAGAAAGCCCACAAACACATGGAAACTGATTAACATTCTTTCTACTCAATGATAATATGATCAAGGAAGAAATAAAGAAATTAAAGACTTTTCAGGATCTAATGAAAATGAAGGTTCATCTTACCACAACTTATGGGAAACAATAAAAGCAGTGCTAAGAGGAAAACTCATACCTCTAAGTGGCTACAAAAAGAAACTGGAGAAAGCATACACTAGCAACTTGACAGCACATTTGAAAGCTCTAGAACAAAAAGAAGTAAATACACCCAAGAGAAGTAGATTCCAGGAAATAATCAAAACTCAGGGCTGAAATCAACCAAGTAGAAACAAAAATACAAAGAATCAACAAAACCAGGAGCTGGTTCTTTGAGAAAATCAACATGATAGATAACTATCCAGACTAACCAGACTAGCCAAGATAGATAACTAGCCAGACTAACCAGAGGGCAAAGAGACAGTATCCAAATTAATAAAATCAGAACTGAAATGGGAGAGATAACAACAGAAACTGAGGAAATTTTAAAAATCAGATCCTACTATAAAAACCTATACTCAACAAAACTGGAAAATCTGGATGAAATTGACAATTTTCTAGATAGATGTCAAATACTAAAGTTACATCAGGAGCAGATAGATAAACCATCTCAACAGACCCATAACCTCTAAAGAAATAGCAGCATTCATTAAAAGTCTCCCCACCAAAAAAAGCCCAGGATCAGATAGTTCTAGTACAGAATTTTATCAGACCTTCAAGGAATACCTAATAACAATTCTTTTCAAACTAATCCACAAAATAGAAATAGAAGAGACACTACCCAATTTATTCTATGAAGCCACAATTACACTCATACCTAAACCACACAAACACACAACAAAGAAAGAAAACGTCAGGCCATTCTCCCTTATGAATATAAAAGCACAAATACTCAATAAAATTCTTGCAAACTGAATCCAAAAACGCATCAAAACAATCATCTATCAGGATCACATAGGCTTTTTCTCGGGAATGCAGAGATGGTTCAATATACAAAAATCCATCAATGTAATCCACTATATAAACAATCTTAAAGAAAAAAAGATACTGTGATGCTGGGATTCCCCAGTGTGGGAGAATTCAAGGGCGGGGAGGAATGGAGTTGATGGGTGGGTGGGGGCACACCATAGAAGCAGCAGAAGGGGGAACAAAATAGGGAGATCCTGGCGGGGAGGGAGAATGGGGAAAGGGCATAATATCTGAAATGTAAATAAGTAGAATATCCAATAAAAAATCCATTAAACAATTTTAAACATGAAATTGTGGATTGGACCAGCTGCTATCATCATCAGAGCACAGAAAATTGCTTATATGAGCAGAAAGTTTTTCTTATTTGCATTCAGTCCTAACCCCAAATTCCACCTTTAGAGCACAGCATTTTCTGGACTTTGAAGCAACCTCAGCCTTAAGATACTTGTGAATCATAAACTTTGCTGGTGCCTACTTTATGTTCCTATGAATGTTTTGGGTTTGTTTTAGACCATTTCATTTTCCAGATATACAAAGCCCTGTTCTGAATGTTAAAAGTAATCTACTCTTGGGAGTCCAGAATCTTCCTTCAAAACTTACTCTCCTTCTTACTGCACTAGGCACAGTACAAGACCTAGGGAGGATGTAACTAGAGATATGGTGCCTGGCTTTCCATCTACAGACAGGCAAGCAGCTTATTCCACCAACTGGAAGTCAAAAAGCAGATCACTGTGAGTTCTAGGCCAATCTGGTTTACACAGCTAGCTCTAGGATGGCTAGAGCTACACAAAGAAACCCTGTCTGGAAAAACAAACTGTCTTAATTAGGTTTTCCATTACTCTGAAGAGACACCATAACCAAGAAAACTTTTTTTTTTTAAAGATTTATTTTATGTATGTGAATACACTGTTGCTGTCTTCAGAGACACCAGCAGAGGGCATCAGATCCCATTACAGATGGTTGTGAGCCACCATGTGGTTGCTGGGAATTGAACTCAGGACCTCTGGAAGAGCAGTCGGTGCTATTAACCACTGAGACATCTCTCCAGCCCATATTTTATTTTACCTTTTTTTTTTCTTTTTTGGATTTTTCGAGACAGGGTTTCTCTGTGTAGCCCTGGCTGTCCTGGAACTCACTCTGTAGACCAGGCTGGCCTGGAACTCAGAAATCCGCCTGCCTCTGCCTCCCAAGTGCTGGGATTAAAGGCGTGCGCCACCACTGCCCGGCCCAAGAAAACTTTTATTAAGGAAAATATTTAGTTACTGCTGGTTACACTTTCAAGGGTTCAGTTCATTATCATTGTAGCAGCATCCAGGTAGACATGGTGCTGGAGAAGGAGCTGAGAGTTCTGCACCCCAATTCAAAGGCAGCAAGGAGAGACTACTGTGTCTTACCCTGGGCAGAGCTTGAATATCTATAGATATCCTCAAAGTCCCACATGCACAATGGCACACCTCCTCCAACAAGGCCACACTTCCTGATAGTACTACTCCCTGTACCAACCATAATCATATCACTACACCAACACAACCAACAAAAGGACAATTCCTGTGGTAGACTGGGTTTCTATGGTAATGAAAGTGAAAAGAAGCTACTGACGACATAGTTAAAATAATGCATCTCTTAGTCAGGATTCTCTAGAGTCACAGAACTTATGGAAGGTCACTCAATAATGAGGAAAATTTTTTGTGATGACTTACAGTTTGTAGTTCAAATAAGCCAACAAAGATCAGCTGTGAATGGGAAGTCCAAAGATTGAGTCATTTCTCAGTCCCAAGAGGCTAGTTTTAGAAGGAGGTTCCAACAGATTTGCTGGCAACTCGGTGCAAGCAGTCAAAGAAGACTGAGTCTCCCTTCTTCCAATGTCCTTATGTAGGTCTCTAGCAGAAGGTGTGGCCTAGATTAAAGGTGTGTACCACCACACCTAGACATGATACTTGCTTTGTCCAAGGCTGACCTTGAATGCAGAGAACTACTTGCCTCAGAGTCCTGGGATTAAAGGCCTGTACTATCTTGCCTGGGCCTAAGCTTTTCATGGCCACTATGCCTAAAGATCTCCCTGTCAAGATCAAGGTCAGAAACTTGTATCATCTGGCCTGAAGACCTGGAACACATGTGAGCCCTCCAATATTGAATTGTAGTTCATTCCAGATAGAGTCAAGGTGACAACCAGGAACATCTATTACAATGTGGGAAATCAGAAACGCATAGGCCTCCTGGTCTGGGCTCGAGCACTGAGCAGATCCCAGGTGGCAGCTCTGCACCCAATCTCACAAAACCTAGAGGAAGCGGGCCTCTCAGGAGGTCTAACCTGGACAGTATCTTGGGTAAGGAGACAGCAACACCCTCCCCAAACAGGGAGTAACTGGGACCCACTGGGACCCAGGAATTCACTCCTGGCCTGGAGCACTGGTTCCTTCCAGTCTACACCCGAGCACTGAGCAGATCTTGGGCCCCAGCTCTAACCCCAGTAGTAACACCCACCCCACACAATTCTAAAACAACCAAGATAATAGGAAAGACAGGCTCCAATCAGAGACAGGGCAGGTAGCACTAAGGAGATCCAGATGGCACAAGGCAAGCACAAGAACATAAGCATCAGCAACCCAGGGTACTTGGCATTATTAGAAGCTAGTTCTCTCACACTAGAAAGTCCTGAATTCCCCATATCACCAGGAAAGCCAGATTCAGATTTAAAATTACTTCTAATGTTGATGATAGAGGACTTTTTTTTTTTTTTTGGTTTTTGGTTTTTCAAGAAAAGGTTTCTCTGTGTAGTCCTGGCTGTCCTGGAAGTCACTCTGTAGACCAGGCTGGCCTCAAACTCAGAGAACCACCTGCCTCTGCCTCCCAAGTGCTGGGATTAAAGGCGTGCGCCACCACTGCCCGGCGATGATAGAGGACTTTAAGAAGGACATAAATAACACTCTCAAAGAATTTGAAGAGAACACAGGCAAACAGGTAGAAGTCCTTAAAGAGGAAACACAAAAATCCCTTAAAGAATTACAAGAGAACATAACGAAACAGGTGAAGGAATTGATCAAAACCATCCAGGACATAAAAATGGAAGTAGAAACAATAAAGAAATCACAAAGGGAGACTACCCTGGAGATAGAAAACATAGGAAAAACATCAGGAGTCATAGATGAAAGCATCACAGGCAGAATACAAGTCATAGAAGAGAGAATCTCGGGTGCAGAGGATATCTGATAAAGGGTTGTAGCAGAAATCTCCAATATGAAAATATAAGCTTTTCCAGAAGAAATTACTCTATGCACTTAAAGATTAACAATGGAAAATTCATTACTAAAAATGCAAACACACACATACACAAGTACACACACACATATACAAACAAATCAGCTAAAACCCAAACATTTTACTGCATAGTTCATTACAAATTGGCATTATGCATTTGATATATGCTGCATTCATACATTCTTAATTCTTTTGATTCCTGGCCTCTGAAAACCCTTTAAACAATTTAAACAGAGACAGGAGTCTTAAAGTATGGGCAATTACTTGGACACGTGTGGTATATATGAAACAAAGAGGATTTCAGAATTCTTCATTAATTTTCTTAGATCTTTTTTCTATTTCTATTGAAAATAAATGTTTCTTTCATTATACTCTGATTACTGACTTCTCTTCTTCAATTCCTTCCAGGTGATCTAAAAATCAACTCCCTTTGTTTATCTAATTAGGAAAACAAACAGCACCTAAAAATATTTTTAAAAGAAAAATAAGCCGGGTGGTGGTGGTGCACACCTTTAATCCCAGCACTTGGGAGGCAGAGGCAGGTGGATTTCTGAGTTCGAGGCCAGCCTGGTCTACAGAGTGAGTTCCAGGACAGCCAGGGCTATACAGAGAAACCCTGTCTCGAAAAAAACAAAAAAAGAAAGAAAGAAAGAAAGAAAGAAAGAAAGAAAGAAAGAAAGAAAGAAAGAAAGAAAGAGAAAGAAAGACAGACA